GGCATAATTTTGTAAAATTCTTGGAGTGTGTGTGCGATATTTTTATAATGAAGTAGAAGTGAAGGAATTGTTTTGATGAACTTCTGGATTGAACATATTTCCCTATCGCTAAAACAAAAAAGGTAATTAAAGGCTTCAATTTTAAGAGACCCGACATGTACCGTAGAATGGGGCTATTTGGAAAGAATTCAATCGATTTCAAAGCATAGTATATTCAACATAATTTATCAATCAATCTGTTTCAATGCAATTGGTAAGATGTTTACCGATGCTGACGACTGAAATTCGAATTTTGAAAATAAGAAGGTATAGTTTATGCAAAGTCAGTTGGAAAAACATATCACCGCAAGCCGTCGGTCCCTCTGAAAGTTCAAAGAGTGCGGCAGCGCGGCCCGACATTCGTTCTTTTCAACTGACTTTGCATAAACTATAATGAATGCCCGTTTCTCATGATTTGATATTTTTCCAAATAAACCTAGGTTTATTGGAATGTTCATGAGTTTGCTTGTGAAAAATCATCTGCAACCTCATACCAAATAGGCACATGATATGGTATCTTGGAAATATTCCTCACAGAAATATCATGACTTTGTTAGGGATGAAGCACACATTTATAATTCTTATATCCATAACCCATTTTTATCAGCTCATTTAATAAAAACAAGTATAAAAATGATGAAAAACATTTAAACATGTGAATGAACATATTTATGTATAATGCATTTCATTTGTGAACATGACCTACATGGTAGGTAAATTTCTGGTTTAGATGAAATACATTGAATTGGGTGAACTTTACCTAACTTTTTTGATGGTGACACCCTTATGGCCTAGGTAATAACGCTGTAGAAATCGTAGATCTTCGCTAGTGAAATTATGAAAAGAGGAAGAGAAAGCAGGTGCAATTATAGTTATTTAACCAACTAGTGTATTAATGAGGACGATTAATGATCGAGATATTTTAACGTGCGAGCGAAGCGAGTGCGTTAATGTTCGAGATCATTAATCACTTTTTAATATAAAAGTTGGTTACAAAATTTTTCCGTCGACTATGTTTCTCATTTCTCCTGCAATGAAGAAAACTTGGTTCGCGAATTCATCATCCATCCGGAAACTGCTAAGAATCACCCAGTAGCCTTGTTACTGACATTAGTGTCATTTGACATTTGTCGAAATGATCAACATAGGAAATAAATTCCTTCTGTTAGAAAACAGGGATTAAAATCGTGTCAGAAACTTGGAAAGGGGAACCCGTTAACGGAAAATCGTCGATGAAATCCATATTTTCGATTTAAATGCAGATTCCGCTAGTTATAGCATAAACAATGAATGCACGCGGTGTATGTTTGGTTGCCTATAAAACAATCGTGCATTTATAGACAAATCGTCCATTAATAGGGGTCATTAATGAACGATTTCATATGCATTAAACTTAGTCGTTAATACGAGGTCGACGGAAAAAGGCTTTTATCAAAAATTTCTGTTGAAAAATCATTCCAAATTATCCTAACAAACACAGTTTTTCTGTTATTTCAACATGTTGATCACATCGAAATATAAACAATTGATTTTCAAGGTAAAAGTGTAGTTGAGACTTCATGGTATATACCTCTAAAAATTGAAGATCTGCACATTTTTGATTACCAACAAACCAAAGGAGACAAGTTGCCTATTTGAAAGGGCCCAAGAATTTCGTCAATATGAATTGTTATAACTTTGAATGATTTTGAAACTGAATAAAAGTGAAAAATCCCGTTGCATCAAAGTCCTATTTTCACAAATAGCCAAGATTCAAATTCAATGGCGTTAAATCTCATCGAATTGGCGCCAGATTTTAAAAAAAATACCTGTATTTTCCAAATAGGCAGATGAGTTCCAAAAAACCCCATTCTACGGTATCTACCAGGTACTCATTTGTATTAGTTAGTGATATTTAATTTTCTATGAATCATTTCCAAATCATGCAGCAACGCTGATTGACCATTGATTATTCTTCGTATTCGTTTTTTTACCGTACAAATGATTATTGGGTCATTTTTATACAATTTAATAATGATAATAATAATGATAATAATAATCATTTATTTCCTTGAGACAGTTACAAACCATATGGAAAAAGTTAGTTGCTTACATTCAACAAGTGGATATACTTACACTCGTAAATTTTCAATACAACAATACTAAAAAGATTAATTTCACCGCAAATTTCCACGACAAATATTCATCCAGCTTATAAAAACTCTGTTCTGTCAAAAAGGATTTCAAATTATGTTTGAATTATTGTTTTGTTGAGCAGTTTTTCACATTTGAAGGAAGAGCATTGTATATTCTAGGAGCCATATGACTGGGAGATTGGTGAGTTATTTTGAATTTTCCAAATGGAATTGAAAAATCATTCTTTTGTCTTGTATTGAAACTATGACATCGTTATTGTCGAATACTAGCATACTCAACTCTGATATGACTAGACATGGTGATGTTGATATCTTCAGTTTCTTGAATATATCTTTGCATGAATCGATCTGTGAAAGCCCCGTCATTGATTGCATAGTTTGCTGAGAACCATTCATTCAAAGAAATCAACACCTCATTGCATTTATCACGCAAGCAAGAGTCCATTTTTTCGGATATGATTAACGACGTATCAGCGTACATTGTGAAGGATGCAGGTACAGAACAGAATTGGTCCCAATATGGATCCCTGAGGGACACCAATGTCTGTTTCAGTTTACTGTGAGAAATGATTGTTGATTGCTACATATTGTGTACGTTTGAGTATGAATGATTTTATCCAATCTAGAGGACAGCCTCTAATTCCATGCTTATACAGCTTTTCCAGTAGTATATGTTGTGATTGATACAGTCAAATGCCCTGCTCAGGTCACAGAAGATTCCAACAGGGCATTCTTCTGGGTCAATATAATCTATTATTTTTTGTCTTCGTAGATTTTTTGTTCAAATATCCATGTTGGTTTCTCGAACTTATATAACATATTCTTGACAAAATGACATTAATCTATCTGAAAAATGATACTCGAATACTTTAGAAAAAGCTGATGGAACTGTGACTGTTCTGTAACTTTCAAGGCTCTGACGACAGTTCTTTTATATCTTGAATTCTTACAAAATGACATTGATCTATCTAAAAAATAATACTCGAATACTTTAGAAAAAGTTGATGGAACTGTGACTGTTCTGTAATTTTCGAGGCTCTGGCGACAGTTCTTTTATAGTAATGTAGAAATATCCATCTAGTTGAAATTTCTATATCTTAGATATTCGATGTTGATGATAAATTTTTATCAAAATGAATTGGTTTCACTGTTTCAGTCAGAGACCCTTCGGAGTTAACTGTTCTCCTAATTTTTCTGCATAAAATAACTGGATTATTAAAAGTAGGGAAAGAAATACGCTTGTCGCTTCTGATGTCGTAACTCTAAGACACTTCTTAACGAGTACAATTTTTAAATTCTTTAAAACGCTTTTTGGCTTCTCGAGCAAATCTCCCTCGGATTCCTTCAGTCATATTTAGCGAATTAAGAATTCGGGGATTTGGAATACTTGGAATATTCAGCGAAATTTCGCGAAACAAATGCAATGCGAGGGACTTTCTCGAGTGTCGACTATATAACAGGATAAGATGAAAGTGCTTGTCTCAAGATCATTTGCGGGGATATCTTGTTTTGAAATATATTTCAGTCGCAGTTCTTACATTAGAGTGAAATATTATAACATCTACAAGAGTTTTTTTTAATCTCTTGGAGCGCACGGAAGGAAATTCCTATAATCTCATGTAAAAGTCCATACTTTTCTCTAACTGGAGTGTAGTGATCACTGGTTGAGGGTCAGGTTAATTGTCAAGGGGTCCTGTGCCCCTATGAGGACGTACATGATCAAGATTTGATGCCAAAACCTATTTTTCGATGATGTAGGTTTGTTTTGTTTTCGAGTAATTATTTGACTCCGCGGTTTCTTCGGTTTTTTTCAATAAATGAGTTTTGCAATTAAATCTTGATCATGTACGTCTTTTATAGGGACACAGAGGATACCTTTACACATGACTGTCCGAAACATCTTCCTTTGAATAATCTTTCTATTATTAAACCTTGTGGAGATGATTTGGTGTTTTCTAACCCTTTCAATTCCTATAATGTTCCTGGAACATCGTGTGTACCTAGGGAAGACAGAGACAAAAGGTAGGTGTTGGGATATGTTTTTTAACTTTTGGGGGTTATAAGTCCTGGGAATATACTTTCATTGGCAGAGAATTCCGAAGGTTCGCCATTCTATAGAGGAACGAGTTTTGGTAGAGTGTTGTTCGATATATTGCAAGGTTAAGGACGAAAGAATGTGCTGGCTAGGCCTGTCGATTCCGTCTATATCTGGAAAAATAGAAGAGCTCCGACTTTTCTACGGTGTTCTAATGAGGTCAAAGAGTTAGTGAGTATGGCATCACCCATTGGGTGAATGGATTTTCCCTGCATGGAATCTGAGAGCATCAGCGTATGTTTGGGTGCTTAGCCCCATTCATGAGAACAGTATTCTGAAACTGGCCGAATCTGTGCTTTGTAAATCATTGGCAGTGTTGAGGTGTAAAGTAGATTTCTGCACGAAACAACAATCCGAGTTTTTGCGTGAAGCAGCTTTTGCGATGAATGAATTCAACTGTAAGAAAAAATTTAGATATTTATCGAAAAGGATGTGTCAGTATTTCACAATAACGCTTTTCCATAAAGGAATTGATCGAGTAAATGATATCCTCTGAAATATTCAGTGGCGTACTACTAACTCCGAGGAAAGGATTATATGTAATCTCTGAATAGACGCCTGGACCCCTGGACCACCCTGTATCTATAATTCAAATTTTAAATTCTGATTCAATAGGAACAACAAGTTTCAACTCTTCTTATTTGCAAAGATCACATACCTTTTATAACCTCCGCCTTATCTCAGCATATATGGATCATAATGAATTTGATTTAAGCTGACTGCTTCAGTAGCTTTGATTAGTATGGGGCATGTCTTGCTGACCTCAACAGCAATGATGAAAACATATTGTATTATCTTGGTTAATGTGTTGATATCGAGTGTTCTTGGTCAATTCGATCCACATTTTCATGGAAATAGAAGTGTGATTGTTCATTTATTCGAATGGAAATGGAATGATATCGCTGACGAATGTGAAAGGTTTCTGCAACACAAGGGATATGGAGGCGTACAGGTCAGTAGGTATCCAGAAGAATTTTTAAGCAATAAAAGAGGCAAGTGATCTAGAAATTCCCTGATATTCGATTCACACCTCCACTTCCATATTGAATACTATATTATATGTTGACTACCTACTACATAATACTGTTCTGAAGTTGGATGCAACATATTACGAGTGAGGTGAGAGGGGACCCCATCATCTGAAAAGCCTTGTTTTACTTGAAAAATAAACTTTCTCTTTGACTCTGGTAACAAAACGATAGCATACGAACTTCTCAAAGCGAACTCCAGGGAATCTCGCCTCTAACATCTTTAGTAGGTCTTCGGTCTTCGTATCTGGTCTTAACCTTGTGACATGAAGCGTGAAGTGTTTGGGAACAGCTTCTACGGTGGTATCCTCCTCATTCTCACCCACTATGAATCTTCTGCGTTTTTCCTTCCACACCCCTAGCACAATAATGCAAATTTTCATCAGGAGGCGACTCTTCGCGTGGATTGACACCATCGGCCTTTCTCTCTCTAGATACCTAGAGAATATAAAAATGGTGAAACAGTGTATGGATGATATCGATAATAACGATAATATCGATAACTCGATCGATGATATCGAGAATACCGATGATATCGATAATATCGCTACATCATGCCTATCGATAATCGAAAATCGCTCACCTCTAGTTCCTCAACATTAATTTAGTTATGAGAACAACGAGGTCGTAACGACAATCATTCGTATTTGGCATTAAAAGCTGAGAAATTCAAAACTACTTATAACGCTTGAAACTCAGTGCTTCCAACATGAATATCGATATCATGACCACCTTCTTAACAAGAAGAAACCATCATTATTCTCGATTATAATCGCACGAATGCAAAACAATTATCTAGCCAATTTAATGCACGATTGTAATTCATTGGAATATTTCACTAATAAAGAGATGTTCGATAGATTGTATGGAGCACCCACCAAAACGCGACATTTTTTTCATATTTCGAAGTCTATCTGACATTTATTCGTTTTGGTAGTGCAATCTTTGCTCTGCAGTGCAATTATCGATGTTTTTGATGAGACATTTTATAAATGAAGATATTCAGCAGAATCTCCCAGTGCCTATATGACCAAAAGTTGTCCAGCATCATGTGATGCTTACTGAATTCATAGTGTTAATGACTAGTTAGTTAGTGCTGGTGGTGCACTGAATATTCAGCTGGAGCTACTGAATTCAGAGCCCGCGTAGCAAGTTATTTTTTTCTTTGTCGATTGAGGCATCCTCCATAAACAAATCATCATCAGTTAGACCAACCGTGTGAAATCACAACAAAAATATCCCTAATCAGAGAATAGTGATTGGGAATCATATTGAAATAACAGCTTATCACTATTTTAGATCTCACCACCAAATGAAAATGTGATAATTAAGAACAGACCATGGTGGGAAAGATATCAACCGGTTAGTTACATAATCAACACAAGATCTGGAGATGAAATTGCATTCAAGAATATGACAAGACGGTGTAATGATGTAGGAGTCAGGTGAGTAGGTGAGTAAGTAGAGGTGTTGCCTTGGTACAAAAATACTGAACAATCTCGAAGCGCCTAGTTATATCTGTCCAATTGTTTTCGATACATGAAATGCAAATAATAGTGCCATCCATGATAGTAGCACAATGAATGATAAATATTGAAAACAACTTCGAAATAGTTATTTTTCTACTCACATAACTAAAATGGCATTCAGCGTACGAATATGTACCACGCTAAATGATCGATTAATAACGGATTGTCGATCTGTGATTTATTCAAAATATTAAACACGTTACCATGGCAACACGATTTCTTTAATACATTACCATGGCAACGCAGTTCATTAAACACAGCTTCGGTAATTTGAGACATGTCTGGTCTGTAAATTGTATTAACTGTCAACTGCTATTTTCTAATTTTGTATCAGAATTATTCAAACAATATTCGTTTGCGTCAGAATTCTTCATTCAAAATATATGCGAAAAGTAGACGAAAGTGAAATCGAAGAGAATGTTCTGGTACTTGCATATCTCCAAGAAGTGTAAAAATAAAGCATCCATCTTTGAGAACAATTTATTTATTCTGCGCTAAGCATGACAATAAACGTGAATAGTATATTATGCAACAAGTGGTATAAACGTCCTTTTAGTAACGAGTATTTTGAGCACGAGCGGAGCAGAGCGGAGCGAGTGTTTAATAAACGAGTGTCTAGAAGAGTTTATAAACGCGTTACATACTATGCTTTTTCTACGATCTCCGAAAATTACATTATCATACCTGCTATTCCTGAAAGGGATGGGAATTGAGAAGTAGTAGTAGTATTGTGGGGAGGCTGTAGCCAGGCAAGTAGGCCCCCATGGGCCCTTTTTGCCAACCCCTGCTCTCCACATATCTACACATCCCTCTTTTAGTTGTCCTTTTCGAACCTTCCCGTCCTTCTGATGAAGGTCAGGATGTCCGTCCACTCTAATTCGACCAAGTCTTCCTGTTGTAGTTTATCTACTCCAAAGATTTCGAATCTCAACCTTCCATACGCCTCACACTCTCCGAGGAAGTGAAGTGATGTCTCCTCATCTTCTCCGCATTCGCGGCAAGTGGGACTATCTTCCACACCTATGAGTGATAGGTGTCTGCGTAACCTGTTATGCCCTGTTAGTATCCCTATAAGAAGGCGCAGGACTTGGCGATCCCTGCCCAGCAACCAAGCCGTCCTTGGCTTGCTAGGACCGGCCACCAGGTCTCTCGATTGCCTGCAGCCGCCTATACGCCTCCAATATACTTCTAGTGCCTCGTCCGCCCATTTGTTAAGGGCAGACGAAGTTTGGCTTCTTGTTATGCCCAGTGCAGGCTCCGGCCCCCAGAACGGTGCCGCGGATCCGATTCTAGCCAGCTCGTCGGCCACCTCGTTCCCGGGCACCCCCCTGTGCCCCGGAACCCATACTAGTTCGACTTCCTTCTGTTCAGCTAGTTTCTCAAGAGCATCGCCACATTCCTGCACCAAGGCTGAGCTTGGTTTAGGATGGCAGACAGCCCTGAGAGCCGCCTGACTATCCGAGCAGATGTAAATCTTCTGCTCTGGTCCCTCTTTCACCTCATGCCTCTCCGCTACTGCCAGAATGGCAAAGACCTCGGCCTGGAAAACTGTGGTATACTTTCCAAGAGCGTAGCTCTCCCTGGGAATTGAGAACATAATACATGCAACTGCATGCAACCAGCGAGACACGAATAAGTGATATTGGTTGTAGATATGTCCAGTGCTTACTAACCTTTGTTTCACGTTTATATCATGCTTAGCGCAGAATTAATCAATTGTTCTCAAAGATAGCGCAGATACCAGTGTCTTTGGATATAGGTAACAGAATTCCGCCCTTTCATATGATTATGTTATTAATTTAGGACTTATTTTTGTTTATTGTTATTACCATATCAATCGTATGAATGAAGGCATATTATTATTATTATAGTTGCTTCATTTTTACACTTCTTGGAGATATGTACCAGGACATTCTCTTCGATTTCACTTTCGTCTACATTTCGCATATATATTTAATGAATAATTCTGATACAAACGAATATTTTTTGAATAATTCTGATACGAAATTTGAAAATAACAGTTGACAGTTTATACAATTGACAGGCCAGACATGTCTAAAATTACTAAAGCTGTGTTTAATGAACTGTGTTTCCATGGTAATGTGTTTAAGAAATCGTGTTGCCATGGTAACGTGTTTAATATTTCGAATAAATCACAGATCGTCAATTCGTGAGTAATCGATCATTTTGCGTGGTACATATCCGTACGCTAAATGCCATTTTAGTTATGTGAGTAGAAAAACAAAAGTTAGTGAGCAATGGACTAGACACATCTACAATCAATATCACTTATACGTGTCTCGCTGGTTGATGCATGCAGTTGCATGTATTATGTTTTCAATTCCCATTCCTTTCGATTTTTTTTGTAGGTTAGCAGGAATTGCAGGTATGTTACTGTAATTTTCGGAGTTCGTAGAAAAATCATAGTATGTAACGCGTTTATAAATTCTTCTAGACACTCGTTTATTAAACACTCGCTCCGCTCTGCTCCGCTTGTGCTTAAACTACTCGTTACTAAAAGGACGTTTATAACACTTGTTACATAATATACTATAATGATTCAAGGACGAATCACTGTCTATTATAGTCGAGTCTGCAAGTTGATAGCCGAGGCTAGCAATCAGACGAGACAATAGACAGTTTTTCGCCGAGGTACATATTTCATTTTTTTGTTGACCTACACTTATATCCACATCACTGTCCTATTCACACTTGAAATCCATCGTATTTCGTTGTCAACTCACTCCCCGCTCAGGGTTGCCAGTTCGATTTTAATTTCATCAGTAAATAGATTTCGATAGATTTATTTAAGATCTATTTTATGCTATACGAATTTCAAGAAAGGGTGATTGAATAAACCCATGACGTCAGAACACTATGTACTGTTAGTGAACATAAAAGTTACCCATTTTAAAAAAGATAGAAACAAACATAACAAACATTCTCATAAAGAATGAATCATATACCTATATAATTCTCAATTTGAAAATACTCACAAATATCACAAAATACTGTCACATAGCTACAAAAAATGATTTTATTCATTGAATAGTTCAGCTTTTTCCATAAAATTTTCTGGTACAGCCCAGCCTACCCTGCCGTCCCTGACGAGCCGTCACTGCCCTAATAGCACACAACGTCCTAGGGACGTCCCTATTTGGTACAATTCACGTCCGAATGTCCTGAACCAAAAATAAGTGTCCTTGGGACGTCCCATCCCGTACATCTCATACAATGTCCTAGCAAGGACGTCCACGGAATGTCCCAGCTGGTACATCATTTCAAATGTCCTAAAAATAGCATCCCTTAGACGTCCCACGTGGTACATATTGTGGAATGTCCATGCAAGGACGTCCTTGGCATGTCCCTGATGGGATATGATTTTAAACGTTCCTTTTGGGACATCCATCGGATGTCCCGTGCAGTACATATTCTGGCATGACTTCAGATCTTATATAGTGTCCTTCTAGATAACCATGAAATGTCCCTGATGGTACATTCCTTCAAATATCTCTGCACAGACGCCCTTAATATTTCCAGGATCGTACAACAATCGAAATGTCCCTCAGGAACATCCTTCGAATGTCCCTCAGGGATATCCGTCCCAATTGGTACATGAACTGTACTCTTCTAATGTCCTAGAAATAACGTCCTATGGACGTCTCAGTCGGTACTTTCAATATGTTGTCCCTGCGAGGACCTTAACTTTCACCTCGCCGACGAATGATTGCTCGTAAGCTATAGGTACTCCTCGTCAATGTCCTTCACGTAAGTCCATTGGACATCCTTGGGAAACTTTTTGGGGACCTTCTACGGACCATCAAATCAACTGGATGTCCTAATTAGTTATGCAAGATCTGGTCCTAGAGGGACCCAGGAAAATTCAAATTCAAGAATAATTCGTACGTCCCTGGGACATCCTATGGACATCCAATTGATATCCCTCAGCGTTGCTAATAGGTGGTCCTATGGATGTCCTAAGGATGTCCTCTGTATTACTTGATGAGACATACTGTAGGATTTAGGTATTCGATAGTTGTCCAGGGGACATCCCTCAAGGACGTCCCTAGTTGGTCCTCAAGTGGGACATTTGTGTGTCCCAAAGACGTCCAATGGACGCCCACGGTACCAAATTCGAACGTCCTATGGACGTCCTGAATGTCCCGACAGGACGTCCTAAGGATATCCATGGGACATAAGTGTGTTAATAGGGTGCACAATAGTTATTCTTGAACTTAGTGCGTGAAATGCTATAGTTTTGTGATCGAGAACTGATTTTTCTAACTCGGCTCCGCCTCTTTGAGAAAATAATCGAGATCACCGATGTATATCGCGCACGATTTGCAAACAACATTTTTCTACAAACGTCGAATAATATAGTTCTAAAGTAATAGCTTGATGAAAAACTCAATAAGCTTTGATTATTGTTGAACATTCAGAAATATGTGACGACTTGGATGTTTTCTCGATCGATTATAATGCAAAAATCTCATATACATGCAATGCACGAAGTATTTACTTCGCGCACTATCCTACTCCGCGAATTACTTTGCACACGGTGTCGTGGTAACGTAGGAAACTGAAAAAAGTGTCATTTCGCATATTCTTATCAATGAATTGAATTTGGACATAACTTTTGAACAATAGATGAGTTTTTTGAAAAAGAAAACAAATTCAACATACGCTAACCATATATTAAAAGAAAACCATAGTTTTGAATTTTTATGATAATCTTGGAGTTCTACAAGTAGAAGATGAAGGGATAAAACTCAATGATTTTGAATCACCAGAAATCAAGAAACTGAGAAAAAAAATTCTAACATTTTATTCAACGATCAACTAGACCTCAATAGTTCACCACTGTTGAATTTTTTTCTTAGTAGGTAATAATATGTATTTGCCATCAACCCTATCAAGTTAATCCGGTAAACCGTATTTTGATGTAGATATTGTACCTATTTTCCGAAAATGAAGGTTTATTGAATCCAACCCTTCAGGTTGGGAAAGTAGGATACACAGTGTGACCCATTTCTAATGGAAACATACCTGTATCTTATGTAATCGTTGGGTAGGTATCCAGAAATTTGCTGGAGCGAGAGATATACCAAAAATGCACTCTTTAACCAAGTGGGGTCATCATCAGTGATGTACACTGCTCGCCAACAGCTATGGAACCACCCCAATTTCCGGAAAATTATATTAGGAGTCAAAATAGGTTGAAAATCACTTCGGATTCGGAATCAGGACGCCCAATTCACTAACTATTCATAGTTTTCCTAGACAATTTTCAGTTCAGAAAAATTAAATTTTCTCTCACTTCTCATAGGAGCACCCCCGTATCTCACGTAATTATTGAGGTAGGGTTCTGAAATTTGCAGGAGGAAAGGAAAGTAAAAAGATGAAGTCAATTATGTAAGATACGGGGGTGCTTCCCTAAAAAGTGCGACAAAATTTTAATTTTTAGAACTGAAAAGTTTCAAGAAAAAATATGAATAGTTAGTGAACTGGGCGTCCAGATTCCGAATCTGAAGTGATTTTCGACCTATTTTGACTCCTAATATCATTTCCCGGAAATTCGGGTGGTTCCATGGCTGTTGGCGAGCAGTGTATATCACTGAAGATGACCCCACTTGGTCATAGAGTACAGTTTTTGTATATCTCTCGCTCCAGCAAATTTCAGGGTCCTTACCCAACGATTACGTAAGATACAGGGGTGTTTCCATTAGAAGTGGGTCACACTGTATAAAAGTTAGGCAAGCCATCCTTAGTAGCACATAATCTGGGCTGGACATTGGCCCTATATTGCCCCAATATTGCCATGGAGCCAATATCCAGCCAAGATTCGTTGTTAGTTTAGTTCATTGTACCAGTATTTCACCTGATGAAGCTACTGTGTTATCGAAACATGTCGTGTAATTGAGAATTTGGTGGAAATCTTATCGTTTGTGAAATTTTTACAACCTTTCATTTTTTGACGTTTGTAGAAGATCCAGAATTACGTCATTTGACAGGTTGCTGAGGGGCAAACATCGCATTTTGTCAAGATTTGTCATATGAAACCAGAATTAGTGGGATTGTTTTCCTTGGAATCCGAGTTGGAACCACAAAGAATTTCATAATTTTGTTTGGTGAAACTGTTATTATATTGTGGATGTGGCAGGGACGGCCAGGGCAATGCTCATCAAAGGTAACCTGACAGATAGTTTGTGTGCCCCTCAAGAAACCATGTCAAAATCACGTGTTCTAGAATGATCAATAGGGTAAAGAGAGAAATGAAGCGTCAATGTCATTTAACTAATTCGCGTATACCGTGTGTCAACGAATCTATCAGACAAGCTATATATAAGTTTTCACGTATTTTTCACTTTCTGATCCTTTCTAGTTCTCCGGAAATGACTCTAGTTTCGAATTTTCGAATGGAACACCCTGTTTACACTGAGAATTGAAAATACTCATGTTTTTTCTCAGAATATATGCGGACGCTGTTATTAATCATATGGCAGCAACTGATGGTATTGGAAAAGCAGGAAGCACTTCCAACAGGACACACAAATACTTTCCAGGAGTGCCATTCGGACCGTATGATTTCCATGATGATTGTGGCATCAGCAACTACCAAGACGCAACTAATGTTAGAAATTGCGAACTAGAGGCATTGCGAGACCTTGATCATGTGAGCGAAACTGTTTTTTCAATTTAGAAGACATGAAACTAATAGGAAATATATTCCATACGCTGGTATATTATACATTTGCATTTTCTTTGCTGATTTTCGAAAATAAAAAGCTTAGAACAATGGCATTTACCCTAATGGTCAAGACACGTTGAGAGGTTTATGTCATTTCTTGACTCACTTCCATTAGTAGTTCACTTAAATAGCGCGAAAAATTATGCTTTTCCACACGAGATTGCAGATGGCCAAACGACGCTTACTCTGCTACTTGGTGGAAGACGAAACAACAAATCGACGGAGTCATCGAACAGAAGCCAGCCGCACATTTGTGGTTTCGGTCAGAAGACCCTGCATTTTCAGGGCTACAACTAACGTCACCATGGAGGCAGCTAGAGCTACCTGCATGACATCCGTCGATTTGTTGTTTCGTCTTCCACCAAGTGTTGCCTATCTTTTGCACTTCTTTCACCGTACTGATGAGGGCCAAAAGCCCGAAACACGTGTCTACGGTTAACTATTCCTAAGGGCTGGGTCCAATAATCTTTTCCTAGTTTGCCGGAAACAGTTCCCGCCCGTAAGAACACGGGATCTTTCTGGTACATCCCGCTAAGGTCTTACAAATGTCCCAATGTTTCAGACTTAGGTACGATATCCCAGAGATGTTTCTCTTGGGACATCCATCAGAAGTTTTCATTGGATGTTCTAGAAACATTCCATTTGATTATTTTTTCAAACACTATCATGGTTCCATATCTGCTAATGATGATTGACATGATTGAACATTTCAAACAATTGTGACATTTGAAACATTGAAAAGTTGATGGAAAGTGGAAATCAAAACTGTATTCGTACATAATATACTTATACCAAAGCCGGCTTATTTCATCGATAACAAATTGAAACAATTATACTCAATATTACTCAATAAGATTACCAAAGTACCTGCTTAACTTCATGACCCATGTAATAAACGAAAATATATCTCTTCAGCATATTTATTGCTGAATTTATTTGTTATACCAGCCGATAGATGGCGGTACAACTACGTTGCTAAGAGTTACTAACAGCCGTCGGCCCAGCGCCAACAAATAGGAGCCTCAAACAACTGTTAACATCTTCCATTATTTATTGGACCGCACCGACCTTATATTTTCGGATTCGGATTGTTACTTGATATCTGGAAATAGGTGGGCTATTTTCAGGATTTCAGATTGAAAATAATTCATACCTTGTCATCCATTACTGTCATCAAACAAAAAACATCCTATATTAAAGTTTCTTTAAGATGTTCAATATCAAGTATCCTGAATGTCTCTGGTACATCCCGTATCATCCCACAAACATTCTGATAGGATGTTCATAAGACATCGCAAATGCTGACACCGGTGTTGCCAGCAACATCCCAAGAATGTCCCGAGGAAAATAGGGCTTTTCCAGAGATGTTCCTATCATCCCATATGGATGTTTCTACGACGTCTTACAGATGTTATTGTGTTATTAGGGGCAATATTCCTTTCATCTGTATTCTGTTACTATATGATACCTGTATTCAAATTCCAGAGCAAAGCTTATGTTAGACAAAAAATAATCGAATATCTCAACCACCTAATCGATCTTGGAGTAGCAGGGTTCAGAATCGATGCGGCTAAGCATATGTGGCCAGCAGATTTGCAATACATAATAGATCATTTGAAATATCTCAACACAGAATATGGATTCTCTCCCAAGCAGAAGCCTTTCATTTTCCAAGAAGTCATTTATTTCGGTGAGTTTTTATATCGTACAAAACAAGATATCTTCATAACCAGCACATGAAGTGGAGAATATCGTACGAGTGTGCTTTGATGGAACACGATGATAAGATAGGAGGATAAGGAGATGATTTCCAATACCAAATGAGTAACTGGAACACCAAAAACTCATCATCACTCATCAAAAATCAGGAAACCATTAATTAACAAAAACAGACAAATTACATTTCCTACAATTATTATTGCTCGTTTACTACGAACATTTACTACGAAACTTACCGTCACGTTCATCTTGAATAAGTCCGTATCTTTTATTTTGTAAGTTTAAGTTTATTTACTCATATTGAAGAAATTCACAACAATGATTTACAATATTCAGCAATGAAGGGTAAATTGGTCGGGGTTCAACTAGATTGATTTTCCATCACAGTATTATACTTATTTAGATGATACATCTGACGGTTATAAAAGATAAACTATTTGCTATTAGAACAAATTACAAACATACAAAAACTCTAGACTACTAGAAAACATTACAATGAACATGATTATGAATATGTTATATATAATAAAAAAGTTAAATGATGGAAAATAATGTAAAGAGAAACGAAAATTATTGAGAGTGTCTTAGCTGATCTGATGAAGAATTTCTTTAATTTTTGTCTTGAACATGTTGAGGTATACTGACTTCATTTCTTCTTTCAAGTAATTTCAAAGTCGGGCAGAAACACAACTAAAGGAATTATGATATATCGCTGTATGGTGAACTGGTATTCTGAAATGAATCCGGAATCTAGTGTGGTAATTATGTATATGGGGCTGGAGGCGATCGAATAAATATTTCGGATCCTTTTATTGCATGATATTGAAAAGTAATGTATAAAAAATGTAGCATACGTCGTTTGCTCATATTAGGGATGATTTTGTCGTTTAGATAAGGACATATGTGTTCACTGTACCTTATATTATACGAAAATCTCATACATGAGTTTTGAACCTGTTTTTATTCAAATTTTAGCTGCAGTATCGGCCCTTATGCTATGCTGATATACAATATCACCATAATCGAAAAGCGAAACATTCAATGTATTGCACAATCGGAATTTGGTATTAGGGTCAATACTATTCTTAGGGGATACAGCCCTTTGAGTCGCATATAAGCGATTCGTCTCTTATTTGATGAATGTTTGTCAAAACTTAGTCCACAGTTGAATTATATACCTAAATTATTTGCTTCTGTCACAATTGGAATTTCACTGTTGTTGAATATTACAGAGAAGTTGAAAGATTTAAGAAAATTGCGATTATCCCTGTATCCGAATATCAATGCTTTCGACAGGATTTACCTTCAAATTGTGATTATCTGCGAACTTTTTCATGGTATCGAGATCCGCTTGTATTTGTTCTGCAGCATGGAGGTAGTTGTAGTGAGAAAATCTGATACATATTTGTGAGTCATCTGCGTATTGATGGAGCATACTAAATTGTAGATTTTTCTTTATATCTGAGACATAATATATATTGAAAAAAGGAGGGGGCCTATTATAGTGCCTTGCGATACTCCACATGAGATTTTTTTAAGAGAGGATGTCGACCAGATGCCATCGGCCCGAGCATCGGCCAGAAAGAAAATTGCATTCCATACTAAGTATCATGAGAGAATCCTAAAAACTGCAGTTTTGATAAGAGAATGTCATGATCAATCGTGTCGAATGCTTTAGAAAAGTCCAACAGTACCAAACATGTTTTGTTTGTAATGTACCTCACAATACCCCATGAGTTGTGAGTTTCTGACAATTATTATGTTGTTATGAATAGATTATTATGTTATAAAATTGTTCCATTTCCATGAGTTTTCAGGTAACGAAGGTGTAAATATCAAAGAATATACCCCTATAGGAGTGGTTACAGAATTCAAACACTCCCGATCCATCACCAACGTGTTTCGGGGAAACGACAAGTTGACTTATTTGAATAGTTGGGGACCAGGATGGGGTTTCCTGGAAGGTCGTGTCGTTGTTTTCGTGGATAACCACGATACCCAAAGACAACATGGTCAACTGACCTACAAGGAATCGAAGAAATATAAGATGGCGAATGCTTTTATGTTGGCTCACCCCTATGGGATTCCCAAGGTTATGTCCAGCTTCGACTTCAATTCCAGAAATCAAGGTGAGAATTTGAACTTTCATTGACTTAGTTCACATTGAGTGGAGTGAGGTGTAGGGAAAGAAGAAGTTTTCGGTGTCAACGAATTCATCACTTATCGACATAAGAATTTATTGTGTATTGTTAGCAGCTGGTCATACTAGGGATTCCATGCTCTAGCAGGGTAATAATTTATTTATCCCAACATCCATTTTCCTGAAATTGATTAATCGAAAGTTATTTCCAATGATGAAGGGCTATATAGGTACCTAGGTACTACGTTCGAGAGATTTTTTTATCGATTTATACATATCAAATTGTTGAATACTAGAATTTTGAGACAATATGTAAGGGCGGAAGTGACTGCTCTTTCATTAAACCCATAACAACATGGTATGTTCATGAATATTACCTATGTCTCTGATTCAATCAAAATAATATAATAATAAGTTCATATACTAGTGAATTAATATCGACCAATATATGGAAACAAATGATATTTGAGATACAGAAATAGTATACTATTTATTCATAAATATCTAGTGAATACTGAAGTTCGTGGAATTGACTATATGGGCAATGAAGATGCATATTCTCAACAAAAATATCAACCTGGTACAACTAGACCAAAACAAATGAGAAAAAAGAGAAAAGAAGAAAATAAAATAAAATAAAAAATGGCAATAGAGAGTTCAATTGGAGACATATATATGATCATATCAATTATGATATTGTAGTGGACTAGAGGCGATCATATTCTTTGATAACATGTTCGAACCTCCATTTGGTACCTATATACAGTGGAAATCATAATATATCAAACCTACCCTCAAACAACATTTTTTGTGTGTAGTTCTGAATTTGCATTTATTCATCGTTTTCAGCGAGTCAGGGATAGCGTTATAAATTTTGGATGCATTGTATAAGATCACTGGTATAGTGACGTGTGGTGGTTAGGACGGTTGGAATGGTATGATAGTGTGAATATCCTGTCTGAACTAAAATTTTTCACATAAATATACTGGGGATTGATATTGAATTGAATTATGAATAAAATAACACAAATGTAAAATCCATCTTTGTTTCATCGTCAACCATCTGGATTCTTTTTCTTAATGAAATTAGCTCAATTTTGATGGCTTTTTCTATCACTTTGCAGATGACTGATAACAGAACAATTGACCTGTTCGGCAGGCTTTCGTTTCTTGTTTGGGGATTGGCTGGACTCTAGCTATTTTCCAGCAAGATGGAGAAATAACCGGCCTGTAGGAGATGCTAAATAGCTTGCAACGAATCTGTGTCAATTCTGGTTCACATTTTTTGAGAATAATGAGTGAATGATATTGCGCTGACGAAAGACGATTTCGGGCATTCGACTTTTAACGGTTGGAATATCCGGCGGCACTCTTACCTGGGAATCCAAGGTGAAGTTTGCTAAGAACATCTCTGCAAAAATGTTCGCGTTTTCTTGCGATGTTGTTGCCAATGCTGAACTGACAGACTTTGCTTCGCTATCCATGGTTACATCGTTGAAAACACCAACGCTGATAGACCAATCAGAATTGAAAGACAGATAGTGTTTTCGCGATAACACGAGTTTTCTTTTGCTTGTGATTTGTGATACCTTTAGTGCTCACAATACTATATCGATAGTAATTCTCTCAGAAATCAACGAGATTCAATTGCTTGGAGTCCGCAGGACGTGGGGTGTTACCTTAAAGCAATTTAATCGGGTTAAAAATCTATGACAGAGTTTTCGATGGTATTGTGAGCACGAGTTGAATTTATTGAGACAATTCCACGACCTAATGACATTGTTATCTCACGTAGTCTCCATGTCATACCAGCTGACAAGGTTCACCATTCTGATTGGTTCTTTTATTGTAGGATATCGCAGTTTCATGTACGTCGTGGAATTGTCAATATTGTACCAATACAAATTTCTTTCAGGTCCTCCAAAAGATTCCGACGAAAATCTTGTCTCACCGGAAGTTAATTCTGATGAAACATGTGGTGATGGGTACATATGCGAACACCGATGGAGACAGATATCGAACATGGTAGCCTTCAGAAACCTGGTCACAGGGACTCCGTTTACCAATTGGTGGTCTAATGGCGACCAGCACATATCTTTCTGTAGGGGCAATAAAGGATTCGTCGCTTTCACTAATGGAGGAGATTTGAGGCAGGAATTACAGACGTGCTTACCGACTGGAAGATACTGTGACGTCATTTCTGGGGAAGTAATAGGGGGTAGATGCAGCGGCAAAACAGTAGATGTCACGTCGAATGGTAAAGCACATATAGTGGTTCTAGCAGGAGATGAAGATGGAGTTCTTGCCATACATGAGAATTCCAGAATAAATTTCATTCCCTAGATTGAGTCTTGATTTATTTTTACTCTGAGCTGTATAGAAGTGTTCATAATAAAACTCTGCTGTTGTGAGAGCTTTCTCTAATTATTCAATGGCACCATCTGATGAATTGGGGTGACTACTCCCAAATTAAAGTTCACCGACCAACCAAGTTCAGTAATTCAGTGTCAAATTATTGAGACTCTGTTTGGTGATATTTTGTCCAGGTCTTCTGATGGAAGCTGGTAATGGCTTTCAATTAATTAATCCTGGTTGGTTTCGCTCCCAATAGGAGCTTAGTGAACTAAATGATTTGGCAGAGTTTGAATAAGTCTGAAGGTATACCAAGCACTGGTTATTCTGATTTGATGAAAGTTTGGGCCTCATGATTGAACGGATACGAATCTCATCGCAAGATTCTATAGAAAATTATCTTCAGGTTTCATCGAGGTTCTCTGTATCTCTAATGATTAATTCACTTTTTTCGATATAAATAAAAATCTATATAGGGGTGAGTCAGGAGGAACTGTACATATTCTTACCACGAATAGAGGAACTTGAGAGAAATACCTAATTACCATCAGAAAGTTTCCTCTTCTCTTCTTCACCAATATATAGGGTGAGTTATGAGATTTAGCAATAACATCTTTTGGTCATAACTTCTCAACAGCTCCTTCGATTCTTCTGATTTTTTCATGGAATATGCCTCTACTAATCCCTAATCCACTGACATTTCTAGAATCGGAAAAATTCAGGACCGTTTTGAAAACTTTCGATAGTTTAGTTTTCATGAAAAAAAACATCTTGTAAATGGTTTTTGTAAACTGTGACAGTGAATTTTCAAAACACACGAACAAGCAGCAGAAATGAAATATTAAAAATTCTCCTGACACTTCCACAATATTTTCAGAAAACGATTAATCATAAGCAAAAACGAAAGTTTGACAAAAAAATTATTCATTCGAAAATAATGACTTCGCAACGCATAAATTTTACAAATAAAAGTGAGGCTCATATTTTCAATGCTTTAGCCCAATGGAAATCAACATGTTCCTCCCCAGCAAACATTTTGATATGGGGCATCAATGGCCTAATATATTTTTCCCATACCTGACATTAGCGGCCCAGTAAATGGTCCCATATGCAGGACTCTATATATCACTGCGGCCGGCAGCTGGTCCCAGTGCTGGGTACCCAGCAATCATATTCAGTTCCCCGGCAAAAGGCCAGTACACCATATTGAGTTTCCCATAGCAAGCCCAGCATATACATAAATGATGGGACTGTTATGGCCAATTAACGACATTGGTTACATACTATCGAGGTAGAGGAGGGGTAGGGGTTTTAAAGGTCTAATGGATCTCACAATTCTAGTACCCCATTATTTAACAATATAACCCTCTCATCATAAATCAGACACATGCCATATTCCAAGAAAACAATTTTATGAATGACTCAATGATTATTGGGTAGCATTCCTTCAAAGTTGATTCTTCATTGTTAGGTACTTCTGAAATGCATCATTAGTTATATATTAGTGGCCTATGAGTTGCATGAGTTTATAATTTGATAATATAGTCTGATGACGTGATAACATGAAGCTTTTCAATTCTCATTATTTTCTTTGCACTGGTATTTCTGTAGCTGAGACCCTGTTATTCAGTTCTTCATTATAGAGACAGGTTCACATAAGGTAAGATTGCTTATGATAGCAACAAATGAGTTAAAAATGATAGTTGCTTTTGGAAAAGTATAGCCAACTCCAATTATTACGATAATTAGGTATACGAGGTTACGAGATACCAAACACATGCATTTAATAATGAAATTCGAAACACTATGTAGGTAGATTGATTCTTACTCAATATTACCATAATTAAAGAATTCGTGTTCTATTATCATCAATTGAGAATACTCCTGCCATCATAAATAACCACCAGGGAAAGAGAGGACCACATTAATTCGACATAAACAAACTAGTACGCGATCACCACTCACGAGAGTCAGCCATCTTAGTCACATATAAAATTGATCAGCTGATCTCAATATTGTGGTCGACCGACTTTGAGTTCGTTTTTCTTCTGTTGAAAAAATACCGGACCACTTTGAGAATGGATGGTTTCCATGACTTGATCAGCTGATTGTTGATGTAGACGTTCCCAGAACTTCCACCAGGGGGACGAGTAGCGAAATTTGTCAGCAAAGGGCCAGATCTCGTTGAGATTCAATTAGTTCCAGACATCTTACCATCACAAGACCATCATCGTATTTTTAACTGATGGTTACTTGGTATAGGAAAACCATCGGTCTATTACCAGTACCCCAGCATCGTCACTTTCCCAGACCAGCCTGCACTAGGCCGGACTTCTCCCGCTTGTTCAATGTTTGCTGGGTCCATTTCCAGCCCTGACTTTCGTGATTGCATTTTTTGCGGAGAGTCATAATTCCCTGTAGATCTTTTTCAAATCTGTGGATGGAGTATCTGTTTAGATGTTAATGGTCATCGATTCAAATAATTCAAGATAGTCGAACACAAAATAAAGGTTTATTCACAATTATTTTTCAAAAGCTATACTGATGGCGGATAATGATTCTAGTATGGAAAATGAGTGACCAAATTAACTGAATTAAACATATGATTATTACCTATCCCCCACAAAAAATCTAATTACCAAATCCAGGGCTGAAAATGGAATAATATGTTGATTTCCATCGAGATGAGGCATTGAAAATGTGAGTCTCACTTTTATTCGTGAAATTCATGGGTTGCGAAGTATTAATTTCCAAATAAATACATTTTTTGCCGAATCGTTCTTCATAAAATTTGTTGTTTTTTCAAAACCGTAGTGGAAGTGTGAGGAAAATTTGGAATATTCAATTTCTGATGTTTGATTGTGACCTGTCACAGTTTACAATAACGATATACAGTATGAACTTTTTGCTAAAAACTAAACTACTAAAAGTTTTCAAGAACTCTCCTGGATTTTCTCGATTCCGAATGGGTTAGTCGATTGAAGAGAAGATGGAATACTCCGCTTACATGACCAAAAGATGTTTTCGCCCAATCTCATGGTTCACCCTATACAGGGTGTTTCACAGGTAAAGGGAAAATATTTCAATGGTGGATAGGGGTCACCAAGGTGGTTCTGAAAATACCATATTTGATAGGTCTTAGAGTTTTCATAACGGAGATACAGGGCGATTTATCGATTTCGAATAATCATTCATTCGTCTATAAGTATTGAAATTCACAGTATATTTTTCTAAAATTTGGTATGGAGCTTAAACTTGGGACGTTGAATGCATTCACCTATCGGGCGAAGTGAAAATCCAGGTTCGGCTCCAGGAAAAATTTACATTTATTCGAAATATTAGTTCATCAAAGGAACCGGCGTGAAGAGGAGGAAAAACTGAACTGGATTTGATGCTTTTTGTTTTCCCGCTACCAATTCTCATCGTAACAATCATAAACAGGAAGCTAAAAGGATGTCAATTTCAAGAGTATTAAAATTATGAAACCACTTTCAATTATGATTATTTGATATAGTCTTGTTGAATGATCGTTCGAAAGAACTTACTTAGTCTCACAGTCTTTATAACAGAGATACAGGGTGAATTATCACTCGTCCATGAGTATTAAACTATACCCATCACAGTAATATTTTCTCAAATTTAGTATTGAGCTTACTTGGGACGATGGATTCATTGACCTATCAGGCAGAATTGATGTACAGGTTCAGCTGCAGGAAAAGTCTCATAGTCTTTATAACAGAGATACAGGGTGAATTATCGAATTATAATTCCACCTGATAGGTTAATGAATCCATCGTCCCAAGTAAGCTACATACCATATTTGAGAAAATGATACTGGGTAGTTTTATACTTATGGACGAGTGAATAATTATTCAAAACCGATAATTCACCCTGTTTCTCCGTTATAAAAACTGTGAGACTTAGTGAGTTCTTTCGAGCGATTTTTTGACTAAAATATATCGAATAATCATAATTGACACTGGTTTCATAATTTCAATACTCTTCAAATTGACATACTTTCAGCTTTCTGTTTATGATTGTTACGATGAGAATTGGTGGCGGGAAAACAAAAAGCATCAAATCCAGTTCAGTTTTTCCTCCTCTTTACGATTCCTTTGATGAACTCTGTCAATTATTACATACAGTGTGTTATTTTAATATTTCGAATAAATGTGAATTTTTCCTGAAGCCGAACCTGGTTTTTCTCTTCGCCCGATAGATGAATGAATTCAACGTCCCAAGTTTGAGCTCCATACCAAATTTCAGAAAAATATATTGGGTAGTTCAATACTTATAGACGAATTAATAATTATTCGAAATCGATAAATCGCCCTGTATCTCCGTTAAGACCTATCAAATATGGTATTTTCAGAACCACCTTGGTGACCCCTATCTACCATTGAAATATTTCCCTTTACCTGTGAAACACCCTGTATATTGGTAAAGAAGTGAAGAAGACACCTTCAGATGGACATTAGGTATTTCCCTCGGGGGCCTCTATTCGTGGTAGGAGTATGTACAATTCCTCAGGACTCACCCTGTATGAATAATTTTGAAAAATTTTGAAGGTAGTGGAAATGGGCATCTGGATGCTCCTCCACCTATGATATGTGTGCGTCTAGGTTTCGTCTTTCCCACATAACCTGCATCGATCTTCCTCTTCCAAGTACAGTTAGGACTCGCAAAAGTAAGTATACGAAGTTCATTTTCGCTTAAGATTGCATAGGCATTCGATCTTTCGTGGTTATACAGGATGTTTCATTGGGAAAGGTGAATACTTCAACTGTGGATAGGGGCCACTGAGATGATTTAAAAAAACCTATGCCTTTTTTGAATTCCGTGTTCTGTGTTTCCTATTTTTGATTCAGTTGTAATCATTGCTTTTCCTAGCTTCGAATATAAGCAGAAATAATATTTTGAGCCCCTGATATGAGTATTAAAAATCGTTTGAGCACGAATTAAAGGTACATCGTTGAATAGTCTCTTTGGTGCTCTTTTTAGATAATATGGCAAATGAATTGACAAACTAAAATGTATAGGGTGTTGTTTTTGAGCAGAAAAAATTTG